TATTTATGCGGAGGTGTGCCCCTTGGAGCAGCCATGACAACTCGGGGGGGCCCACAATTGCTGTAGGGAGGGAAAAAAAAAAACGGAGGAGAAAAATTAAGCCCATCAAAACAGAAGGCAAGCACCTCATTTCTCTAGAAATGATGTTTTTCAGTTGGACATCCCACTCCCAGCACACAGAAACATCCTCAGGTCTATCATGATGGCACTTGGTGCTGTGAAACCAGCTCTGGAAACGGCGGCCACCATGTCACTGCAACAGTCAATGCTGCTTCTGCCTCCTCTGGGGACCCCAGGCCAGGACAGAACTGCTGGCACCCCTGGCTCCCTGCTGCTGAGCGCTCTGTCAGACGATGGTCTAGAGACTGGCTGCGGAGCGCAGCAACTGCTCTTCTAGCTGAGTGCATCTATTTCCATGCCTGCTGGATGCAGAAGGAATGAAAAAGGGAACGCGAACAGCCGACACATATCCCATTTCAGCCGCTCGCACGTTCAGCTTATTGCAACAACCCTCTGTGAACTGGTTTAGGGAAAGGTCCTGAAGTTTTTCCTTCCTCCAAAGAACAGCTAGGCTTTTCGGACAGGACAGCCAGTCTGTGACTGAGAAGAGACACGTCCCTGGCCCAAAAGGCAGCCAGGGCAAAGGCAGTGCTGGAGGGCCCCCTGCCGGCACCAGCCTGTGCCAGCTTTACCTTGCTGAGACAAAAGTGCCTTCACCCAGCATCTTCCAGACCCATGGCAGGGATGAAAAGGGGACGTTTTTAAAAGGCAAGCCTGGAGAGGTATCCTTTTCCCTACCCCATCTCATTGCATTCTCCAGAGACCCAAATTCTCACAGCCCCTCTGTGGCCTGGGGCGCCCCATCCATGGCCCTCACCTCTCTGTCTCCTCTTCTGTCCCCTTGCTCTCCACCCAGCCCTTCTCCATCAGCTCTGCTCCCATCCCTTTCCTCCGGTCAGGGCTCTTGGCACTTTTCCCACCGATATCTTCATCTGATTTCCCATTGTATCCCACCAGAGCTCTCCAAGGACCCCTCTCCCCATCAGCCCTTTAGGAAAAGCAGGAGCCCAGCTGAAGGAGCTCCCTGGTCCTTACTGTCTCTGTACAGCTGCAGCTCGCTGGAATAGGCCCACGCGGACAGCTCGCCTCCAGCCACTGCTCTCACCCTTGCCCAGTAGAGATCGTGGATCTTGTCAAAATACAGCTCACATGCCCAGGAGGAGCCAGTGCTGTTCCCCCAGCAGGTTTCTGCCTTGGTCCAGCGAGAGGTTCTGCTCATGGAGAAAGTGCAGGGATTTCTCCTTTTCTGCATCTTCCCAGCCAAAAGGGAAGACTGCCTGGCCATCACCATCCCGTCTGAGCAGGAGAGCACGAACACCGGCCAACAGCATCCTGGGCTGCGTTAGGAGGAGCGGTGCCAGCAAGTCACGTCCCCTCTCACTGGCACCGGTGGGATGGCATCTGGAGGGCTGTACCCTGACCTGTGCTCTCCACTATGAGAAAAAACACATCCGCGCCAGAGAGAGCTCACTGAAGGACCAAAAAGATGACCAAGGGGTGGAGGTGTCTGTGGTATGGGGGAGGCTGAGCGTGCGGGGTCTGCTTAGCAAAAGAAGGTGGCTTAGGGTGCAGGGTCTTATCAACGCCATGGAGTAAAGAAGATGGAGACTTATCAGCAGTGCCCAGTGAAAGGATGAGGAACAGTGGGTGCAGGTTGAAATACAGGAAACTCCTTACCCATGAGGGGAAAAAAAACCCAAACCCTAAAGCAACCCCTTTCATCTGTTACTGGGAGGGTGACCAAGAAAGGGAACAGGCTGCCCAGGCAGGTTGTGGAGGCTCCATCCTTGAAGGTGGTCAAATCCCAAAGGACACAGTCCTGAGCTGACTCTGCCTGAGCAGGGACAAGCTGGTCTGCGGAGCTCCCTGCCAGCTCTGCTATTCTGTTACTCCATGGTATTTATTGCCAGATAACAATCCTCTGGCTACTGGGGTCCTCAGCAGCCCTCTGCCAGGGTGCAGGGCGTCAAATCACCTCCACCCACTCCTCCCCACCACCCCACCTACCGTCTCTTCCACTCCACCTGGTACGTGGCACTGCGGGGTGAGCCAGGGTCCAGCTCCCACTGCAGGTGGACATGAAAGTTTTGTGCCTCCAGCCTCACGTCCCTCGGCGGCAACAGCACGCCTGGGGAGAGGGGGAAGCAGGGGGGCATCAGGCAGCGTCACTCTGTCCTGCAGGGGCCCGCTCCTTGGCCGGTCACTGCTTGGCATGCTGCACAGGTCTCCCCACTTTGCACAGGTATTGTGGGGCCTCCTCCCACCCTGCAAGCCCCCCCTTCAGTCCCATGTAGGCAAACACCGGCTCCCTGCCAGGCTCAGGCAAGCACTGGCTGCCAGCGTGGTGCTCAGCATCCGCATCCCGTGAACCTCTTGCACACCCTGGAGCATCCTATCTGCGGTCCCCCAAAAGGCACCGACACCTTGATGCAGCCGCTGGTGACCCTAGGGTTTTCTTGCCTGTTGCACCTTGAAGACCACCTGGTCCCCTCCTCCCTGCAGGTACCTTCTGCAGGTCTGAGAGTTGTCCCTGTGCTTCTCCCCACCCTGCAGTCCAGGCCACCCCACAGCCTGCTGCAGCAGCTCCAGAGTCAGACTTACCCCGGAGCAGGGTGCAGCTGGCCAGGGACAGAAGCAGGCTCAAGGCAGGGCTCATCCTGCTGTGCCCCATCCATCTGCCCCCAGGTCTACGCTGCCACGCCGGTTGCCATGGCAAGAAGACAGGGGTGCCGGAGCTGTTCTGCCACCCACGAACACAACAGGCAGCTGGAATCTGGGATCAGAGAGAATACCTTTTTCCCGAAGCTGCGGCCGGTGACATCCGGCGCAGGCGTGCCTCACACACGGAG